CGAAAAAAGACGAAGAGAAGCCGAAAAAGAAGGACGACGACAAGAACAAGAAGGACAAAGAGGAGAAGAAAGACAAAGTGAAGAAAGAGGTGAAAAAGAAAGTGAAAGACGAGAAGAAACCAGAGCTTCGGAAAATCACCAAACCAGACCTGAAACCGCTGACTCCCGAGGTGAGGAAGACTCTGCACAAGGCCAAGACTCAGGCCAAACCCAAAACCGACAAAAACAAAACGGCGAAGGAGGACGGGGTCGAGAAGAAAGTGATCAAAAAGAAGAAGAAGGTGACGGAGGAGGTGACAGAGGAGGTGCAGAAGGCGACGGAGGTGACGGTGGATCGGTCCGTGGTTTCCTCCCCCGAAGATCTCACCCAAGACTTTGAGGCGCTGAAGCAGGAGGAGGGAAAACCGTCCGCCGCCGTCTGCAAACAAGAGAGTCCGAAAATGGAGGAGAAGGAGGAGAAGAAAGAGGAGGAGCAGAGAAAGGAGGAGAAGAGAGACGAGGACGAGAAAAAGGAGGGGAAGTTTGTGAAGAAGAGCGAGAGTTCAGAGGATGAAGACGTGATCGAGAAAGCGGAGGTGGAGGGGACGGAGGAGGCGGAGCTGCTCAAAGGGAAAACCGAGGAGAAGGAGCTGAAGTCAGAGCAGTTTTCCTACATCCAAGACGAAACTATTCCGGGTTATTCCGAAACCGAGCAGACGATCTCGGACGAGGAGGAGATCCACGAGGAGACGGAGGACAGGATCCTGAGCTACGACGTCGGAGATGTTTGCGTTCCGGACATTCCAGGAAGTTTCGACTCGATCCACGGCGTCAAGGAGCTGAAGGACGCCAAGCCCAAAGCGTTCCCGTTTCAGGAGGCGGAGCTGGCGCCGTACCCCGTGGTCATCTCGGCGCCGTTAGCGGAGGAGGAGCACGTTTCCTCAGCGACGTCGATCACGGAGTACGACAAACTCTCGTCCTTTGCCACCGAGGACCAGTCGTACATCGCCGCGACGCAACAAACCGAAATGAACAACCAGCTCGCCAAATCCGCCCTCGCCAAAGACTACCTGCACTCCGCCGGGACCATCTCGCCGACCTCCTCCTTAGAAGACGACAAATGCTTCAAGTCTCCTTCGTCGGACGAGCCCGCGGTGCCGGAGATGGACACCAGGGGGCGAGAGGAGGAGGAGGACGAGGAGGAGGAAGACGAGACTCCCAACGTGGACATTCCTCTGGGGAAACTGCAGGAAGGATACGAGCTGAAGACCAAACAGGAGCAGGAGGCGAAACCGGCTCTGACGCCCAAGTCTGTGGAGGAGGAGGGCTTCCCGCTCAAAACGCAAAAAGACGAGATATTCACCGCGAAAACAGACAAACTCGGCGATTTCTCCTTCAAACTGGACAAAGACATCGCAGCGAAGACGAGTCCGCCGCTAAAACCACCAGAGCCTCAGACATTTACGTCAAAACTACCAGAGAAACCAGAACCTCTCCCTCCAAAAGTCGACGATTTCACGCCGAAACCGAAAGAAGACAGTTCAGCTTCGAAATTAGACGCAGAATCTAGTTTGAAGAAAGACGATATTTTCACGACAAAACAGGACAAAGACGCCTTCAAACCGAGTTCTCCTCCAAAACTCGACGACTTTTTATCAAAATCTAAAGAAGAAAAGGAAAAAGTAGATGATTTTTCAGAAAAACTGGATCAGAGCAAACCCGTCTCTCCTCCGAAGTACGAAGCAGAGCAAAGTTTCGCACCAACGGCAGCGAAGACGGACATTTCCAAACCGTCTTCTCCTCCCAAACAACCAGAGTCCAGTTTTCCTTTGAAATTTGACGATTTTAAACCAAAACAAGACAAAGAGGACGTCACGAAACCCGCCTCTCCTCCTAAATATGAACTAGAGCAAAGTTTCACGCAGAAATTCAATGATTTTAAAGCAAAATCTGAAAAAGAAGAATTCGCAAAACCAGGTTCACCCCCAAAATACGAAGCTGTAGAGAAACCGCCTTCTCCCAAACAACCGGAGCAAAGTTTCCCGTCCAAATTCGACGACTTTAAACCAAAACAGGAAAAAGAAGACGTCTCCAAACCACCGTCTCCTCCAAAATATGAACTAGAGCAAAGTTTCACTCAGAAATTTGATGATTTTAAAACTAAATCTGAAAAAGACGACATCCTGAAACCGTCTTCTCCTCCTAAACAAGCGGAGACAACGTTCCCAATGAAAACCGAAGATTTCAAACCAAAACAAGAGAAAGACGACGCAGCCAAACCAGAGTCGCCCCCGAAATATGAACCCACCAAGTTTGAAGATTTTAAAACGAAAGATGAATTTTCAAAACCGGATTCTTCTAAATTTGACACACAGCAACAGAAAACGCCAGACTTTGCCTCCAAACCTCAACAGGAAGTGGGTTTTCCTCCTGGATCTCCTCCGGTGACTGAATCCAAACCCAGATCTCCGGGTTCTCCTTCGATTCCGGGTCTGGACCTGAGACGCGACAGCGACGATCGCTGCGTGAGCCCGGACGAAAGCACCGTCAAACTCACCTCTCCCACCGAAGAAAAAACCATCGGCAAAAGCGAAATGGAGAAAGGCGAAAAGTCCGTCACCATCTCCGAGAACACGTCCTACATCGGGACGTTCGAAGCTTCTGGAGAGTCGGAGTCAGAGGAGGAAGAGGAGGAGGAGGAGGAGGAGGAGGAGGAATACTTCGACAAAAAGGAGCTACAGCCGACCGTCAAAGCCAAACTCATGGAGGCCAAAGAGGGATGCTTCCTGGACGACGACTTCAGCGCAAAGAAGGAAAAAACGCAGAAATATTCCGACGAGGAAGACGAGAAAAAGGACGATGTGGTCGAGAGCGAAAACAAAAAAGACGAGGAGAAAAGCGTTCATTTTGGAGCTTGTGATTTCCCGGAGAAAGAGAAAAAGACGGAGGTGTACACGCGTCAGGACACGCCGTACGTCCACGGGAAAACCTTCAGCTACGGCTCCGTGGAGTCGGACTCGTTCAGGCAAGAATCCGACGGAAAACACGAAGCGAAAAAAGACGACAACAAAGACTACGAGGAGGTCCGGGTGAGGAGCTTCCCGTCCGTGGCCGACAGACCCGAACTGTCCGCCACGTCGCTCAGCTCGGACAAAACCGAACGATTCCAGCAAAGTTTGGAAGTGGATTTACGGAAATTAACCGCGAAAGACGAGGAAGATTATGACGATGTGGAGACGGAATCTGAGGAAGAGGAGACGGAGGAGGAGACGGAGGAGGAGGACGTGGAGAAAGGAGCTAAAGAAATGTCGGAAAAAGAAGTGAAAAGCGAGTCCAAAAGTCCCTCTCCGACCGGATTTGACCCCAGCAGACCCGAGTTTATCCTTTCATTCGTGGGATACGGATACAACAGCCAAGGACGAGTGGAACCAGAGGAGAAAGCCGACACCAACAAAGAGAAAGACGAGAAAACGTCCGATAAAAGTCAAACCCAAAAGGAAGTGGAGTTCATGAGTAAAAGTGAAGTGTCTCTAACGCACGAAACTCAACTCAAAGATGCCACGAAACCCGACGGGAAAACTTCTGCGTCTCCGACCAAAGACGAGTCAAAGGAGAAAAGCACGACGCAAACTTCAACCAAACCACAAATCTCTCCAACGTTTGAAAAAGAAAAACCAGAATCTCCATTTAAAGACAGATCGCCGGAGAAGACGAGGACAGACGATAAAGACGATTTCAGTTTCAGAGCAGCGGGAAAAACTGTCACTTCTGGATTTGGAATTTCAGATAAATTTGACCAAAAATCTGAACGAGAATTTTCAAGTCACAGCGGATTCTCGTCCACGTTTGAATATTCGTACAAAGACTCGAGAGCTGAAGAGAGTAAACCTGTAGAACCATTTAAATCTGAAAAAGACGACAAGGAAAAAGCTGAATTTGGACTCAAAGAAACCGGGAAGGCTGCAGATTTTGATAAATATTCAACAGATAAATTTGGATTTTTGCAAGAGAAAAAAGAAACTGAAACCAAACCAGACTCTAGTGTGAAATCTTCCGTCTCCTCGGGCTTCACTTCTTCTTTACCTTTTGAGTTTGACAAGAAATCGGAAGAAAAAGACGATTTCGACACAGAGTTTCACAAACAGAAAACGCCAGAGAGCAAAACGACGTTAGACTCCAGTTTTCCGTATCCGTCAAGCGCGGCGTACTCTTCGTCCTCCGCGTACAGCTACTCCTCCTCCACCTCCGGCTCCCTCTCCATGACGACCAGCCGACAGTTCGCCGAAGACCTGGAGACCCCTGCGTCCGAATCGCCGACGTCCGAGCGCGTTAAGGACGATTATCTGGAGGTTTTGGAAGAGACGAAGTCCTCGGCACAAAGCGCTCAGGCCGGGAAGGAGGCGCAAGGAAAATCCGAGTGTTTCTACAAACCTGAAAAGACGGAGGAGTTTGGTCTATACACATCGGAATCCTCCAAAGAAAGGTTCGGAATGCCGTCGATGGAAAGTAGCGGATTTGGAGCGACATCGAAATCAAAAATAGGAGAGTATGGACTTTATACCGCAGACGTATCGCAGGAAAAATACGGAGGATTTCCAAAATTTTCACCTGATGATGTACAGAGGGATAAAGAAATGTGTAAAGAACAGTACGGACCGTTTGGAGCCGCGGCGAAAGACTTCGGAGCTAAAGAATCTTCGCTGGAAAAAAGCGGGATTTACTCAGAAATGAAAGCGGATGGATTTGTGCAGATCTCCTCGGAGAAGGAGGCGGCGAGTGCGGCTCTCTTTGGAATCACATCATCCCCGAGGCCTGAAACCGAAGGGAAGCACTATTTCGAGGAGACAGACACGAGCGAGGAAGAAGAGGAGGAGGCTGAAGACGCGTACATGAGAGAAATCATCCACAAAACCAGCCCAGGAGCGGCGAAGGAAACCACCGTCAGCGCGGAGAAGGTGGAACTCAGCTCCTCCAAAACCACAGAACCGACCAAACCGGACGCCAAAGAGCTGAAGACCTCCGCGGGGTTCGAGTGGGAGATGAAGTCCAAGTCTGGGATGATGGTTCCCGGAGACTCGCCTCCTCATTACCGACAGGAGTTTGAAGAGGAGGTGGAGATGGAGCCGGAGCATCCCGCCAGGCCGCTGTCCCTCTCCAAAACAGAAGGCGGCGCTTCGTACGTCGGCGCGCAGAAAGCCTCGCCCCCGAGCTTCGGCGACCGCCAGTCCCCGTCGTACTTCTCTGCCGACGTGCCTCAGAGCAAACAGGAGCTGAGCCTGAGCTTCGGTGAGAAGAAGGACCTCGGCAAAGACACCGCCGAGTATTTCGGTCGCCACGACAGCGACGACGAGGAGTGTAAACTCGGAGCGGCGTCCAGTCGGAAGTCGCCCGGATACTCGGCGAAACACGACCTCTCGCCGTCCTTCATCAACCCGAGCATGAGGGCGTTTGTGAGCGACGAAGAGGACGACGAGGAGGAAGAGGAGGGGCCGGCCAGCATCAAGACGCCGCAGGTGGGTGGAGTCGGGGCAAATTATACAAAAAAAAAAAAAAAAACATGCACAGAGAATTCTGTCCTACAAAGGCAAAAGAGTTTAACTCTCCAGAGAGAAAAATGATTTTTTGAGTTTGTGTTTAGTCCAGATAAAAGTCGAGTAGTTTGGGCTCTAGTCGCTATAATAAAGAAATATTTGTACATGAAAAATCTTCCATAGAATCTCCCTTTGACCTTATTTGTCACTTCCTGCTCTTTATCTCCTGAGCCTAAAATAAGTTTTGGTGCAAAGTCCAAAAACAGAACCTGACCTGATCATTATTTGATTTTCTCCAGATTTCATCTGTTATTAGAAAAACTCTGAGCTGGAGTCGTCCTGAGTTTGTCTGAAATGATCTAGAAGAGTTTTGGAGAGTTTCCTCTTTAGTTTTGATCAGAATTGTGACAGTGAAACATTTTGACTCGAGCGACTTTCCAGTTTATGTGAATCATGTGAATAAAAACACAAAAACTTTAAACACTTTAAACATCACAGAAGTTTAACTGAACACAAAAGTTTATTTATTTAAAATGTTCAGACTCTGAGCCGAGGCCACAAAAAAAAGAAGGTCAGAGGTTCAATTTGAAAATCAAATCTATTTATGAAAACAAACAAACAAACAAACACAGTTTGTGTCTTTTGTAGTTTGTTCAGTTTGTCTGGTCACTAAACAGAAGTGAAGAAACAGTTTGGACGAGCTGAAACATTTTTAATCTAAATAAACTTTGGCCAGTTTGACATGTTACATTTCTCCTTTCACAGTGCAGCTTTAAAGCCACAGTGTGTCACTTTTTTTGGAAAAAAAACAACTCAAATTAAAGCATGTTGTTTTTGTTTTTTTTATTTCTGTGAAAAACACTTGTCCTCACACTGAGCTCGCACTTTCACAAACCTGACTCTCCTCTGGCCTGGAGGAGCCTCCCGCCTGTTTCCACGGAAATGTTGGTGTGGAGAATGTTCCGCAGTGTCCCCAGACGGTTACCAAAGAGAGAAATCAAAGAAATACACAATTTAATACAAAAAAACTGAAAAGTTTGATTTTCATTTTGTGTTTCCATCGACTCAAACAGGAGACACCAACAGAAAGTTCCAAACTGTGGCTTTAAATGATTTACTCTTTTGACCTTCACTGAGCTTCACACGTGTAACTCTCGTGGTGTTTGACCTTTCAGGAGCGCAGCAGCGGCGGCGGCGGCGGCGGCGGCGGCGGGTGTCTGCTCGCCAACGAGGACACGCCCCCCACCTCCGACGAATCCGGAAACTCCGATTCCAACGCCGAGTCGGAGGACGAGGAGTACATTTCCGTGGAGAAATCTCGGAGCTACGACCCGCCCCCTGTGTCCAGGACCGACCTGTCGCCCCGCCCCCCCACCCCGACGTCTGCATGGTCGACCCCGCCTCCTGCCCCCCCGACGCCGACCTCAAGAAGCCCGACGACGACAAGGCCAAAGCCAAGGTCAGTGCACATGTCCACGTCTGCAGATGTGCAGATGTTTGGTGCAGATGTTTTGGTGCAGATGTTTTGGTCCAGATGTTTTGGTCCAGATGTTTTGGTGCAGATGTTTTGGTGCAGATGTTTGGTGCAGATGTTTGGTGCAGATGTTTTGGTGCAGATGTTTTGGTGTTTGCAGATGTTTTGATGTTTTGGTGCAGATGTTTTGGCAGATGTTTTGGTCCAGATGTTTTGGTGCAGATGTTTTGGTGCAGATGTTTTGGTGCAGATGTTCAGATGTTGTTCCTCTGACCTTCTGGTTTGGTTTCCAGAAGAAGAAGCTGACGAAGGGCTCGGTCAAGTCCAGCTCGTCTCCAGCGCGGCGGAAGAAGTCACCGATGCCCCGAAGCGCCGCCTCCACCAAGAAGAAAGATCTGGAGAAAAGCTCGAGGGCGTCCAGGACCTCAGACCGAGACGACGAAATGTCCAGGGCCTCGTCCACACTCAACAAGAACAAGACCAGTAAGAACCAGACCAGGACTGAACCAGGACTGA